AGAGAGAGAGAGAGAGAGAGAGAGAGAGAGAGAGAGAGAGAGAGAGAGAGAGAGAGAAGGGGGAGAGAGAGGGGGGAGGGGTGAGACAGTTAGGCAGTCTAAAAGAGTGATGGCCACTTAGATATTTATTTAATTCTCAAGTCCATTAATTGTCTTAATGCATTGAATACAATAAAATGCCCGCGAGAATCCCTTTATAAGAGTTGGTGTGTGTATTTCTACATGTAACTGTGACTGCATGGTGACATAACAGGAGGTTTGTTGGTCACAAGAGGCGTGTGTTCCCATGTTATGGTGCATGTTATGGTCATGTTAATGGTCAGATAGCCCTGCAGCCCTCTGTTGTGATAGCTTATTGAATTAGGATGGTTTATGGGGTAGCATTTGCACCTGAATCTTTGTTGGAATTGAGCTTTAATTTGTAAGTGCAGTGGCTTCATTCTGATGCAAATTGGAGCCAAAGACCCTGTACTACAGTACATGGTCTCAGGCCAAATTTTGCCAAAAATGACAAGGAGGTAATTCTCCATTTTATAACTTTTTCTGATGCATATACATGTTCTTATGTTGTGTAGAAAGTTTGAGCTCATTCCGATTAAATTTGGATTTTTTACGAATTTTTAAAGTTGCTCCAAAATTGGGCCAAAGTCCCTGTACTATAGTACAGGGACTTTGGCCAAATTTCACCAAAAATGACTAGGAGAGAATTCTTCATTTTTTTAACTTTTTCTGATGCATATACATGTTCTTATGTTGTGTAGAAAGTTTGAGCTCATTCCGATTAAATTTGGATTTTTTACGAATTTTTAAAGTTGCTCCAAAATTAGGCGATCACAGCATCCATGCGCTATATTATAGTACAGGATATATTCTCAAAATGGCTCACACTCTTAGTCCATATGTACATGTACTTATTATTTATAGGCGGACATTGTTATTTTGTATACAATTACACCTGAGAAGATGCACACAGACATTCCCAGACTAGCTCTACCTTTGATTATAGTGGAGGAATGATATTTCATTGTTCTGTTCATGATCAGTTCAAATTGAGGCAGCAGCTGTCACAGGGTGGGCTTGCCACTGTATAGTAGCAATGTGTTTCAAATTGTACAATATATAGTATGTGGACATTCCTTACTTTGAAAGCTTATGGCACTCCTCCATCTTCAAAGAAGTTTACTCTCACTCTTACTTTCTCTCTCTCACACACATTATAATTATTATGTTTATTTTTAAAATTCTTTGTCCCTCTCTCTCTCTCTCTCTCTCTCTCTCTCTCTCTCTCTCTCTCTCTGTTGCTTGTACAAACTAACTTAATTGGACTGATAATTGCCATGGTAACAATTACATTTCTCATCATTAAATTATAATTGCATAATAGCATCACAATAAGTTGTGATAAGATCAGTATTCTCTTAATCTGCTATTGGCTATTGTACTATTGTCCGTATAAGTAATGTTTTGTGTCCTACCAGCCATTTTGGCATGTCTATAGTGTACATGTACATGTACATGTATGTTTTCTCCTCCAGGTATTATCATAATCATCTTGTTTGGTGATGAGTGTGTGTGTGTATAAATATCATATCATGTACATTAAATGTTACTATAAGCATATGAGAGCCTTGAAATTGTACTTATATTTCTGCTCTCTCTCTCTCTCTCTCTCTCTCTCTCTAGGGAAGAACACACATATTTAAGATTCATGCTGCTAAAATGAGCGTGGAGAAGGACATTCGCTATGAGTTATTGGCTAGACTATGTCCAAACAACACTGGTACATTAACTACACACACACACACAGTATTACTGAATGTACATGTACATACATGTACCCCTACTACTATTATAATAATAATACATTATAACGTGTCCTGATCTACTCTGCTATATATGTACATGTATTTCTTAATACTTTCTATGCTTAATGTACACACAATACTTCACTGTTGTGGTTGATTAGCGACAATTGTATATGTACATGTATTTATTTTATTTACCCTGGGTGTACTCCGGTATTTTCTAGTAAAGCCTCACACAAGCGCCCGCAGATTTGAGGCCGACGAATGTACATGTACATGTACGTCACGCATGCACACAGAGCACCTTCTGTTACACTACTCACAGTTTATATTGAATTATGTTTCTGCCCACAATTTAATAGAATTAATTTATTTTGTCATGTTTCTTGTATACTTGTCACTTACTATTGAGTATATGCATAACAGTAATGCGATATTATTGGTTCTTATTATTATTGTTGTATTGTTGTATGTTAGCGATGTACTCGTTGCAGCTGGACGATTCCCGCCTCAACTCAATTATGCTTTAGTTGTACGTGGGTCTTGTGTTCCGCAACAAGACAACAACCCTTGTTGTTGTTATTGTTGTTGTTGTTGGTATGAGCGTCAGTTTTATCGTCTCTTGTGACTCCGGCAACTTTTTGTCTCTTTCGTCTTTTAATTAAACCTTTTCGTTTTTATTCTTTATGTGCAGTATAGCCTCTATAATAAGGACATCTTTATAATGAGGACATTTTGTAATTGGTACAGATCTATGCGAAAGTACCTTTGATATAAGGACAACTCTATTAAGGACAGGCAGTGTGGGCTCAATGGTGTCCTTAATAAAGAGGCTACACTGTACATGTATTAAGGACAGGTAGTGTGGGCCCAACGGTGTCCTTAGTAAAGAGGCTACACTGTACATGTATTAAGGACAGGTAGTGTGGGCCCAATGGTGTCCTTAATAAAGAGGCTACACTGTACATGTATTAAGGACAGGTAGTGTGGGCCCAATGGTGTCCTTAATAAAGAGGCTACACTGTACATGTATTAAGGACAGGTAGTGTGGGCCCAATGGTGTCCTTAATAAAGAGGCTACATTATACAGTACAGGTATCTAGAATATAAACAGTTTCCAGTGTAGACTGGTGCTTACAATTCTTGTTATACTGAAGGCGGTAATAATCGTCACTTGTCACATATTCTTTAAACAATATGTTCCATCAAAGTTTGATAAGAATTTCGATTATTGCTTCAACATGTAATGCATTTAGCAGCTACATATATGTGTGTGTTTGTGTGTGTTTGTGTGTGTGTGTCTGTGGGATATTTCCTTATCACTCATTGTTAATGTGTTTATACTCTGTATGGGATTATTCATTGAGTCATGGAGTGTGTGTTATTTTGATTGACTGGTCTATCTGTCTTCTCTTGATTTTTGATATGTCTTTGTAGTGAATTATGTAAGGATCAACTTATTTAAAGAATGTCTTTTATTATGGGAGAAAGAGGGGGGGAGAGAGAGAGAAAGAGAGAGAGAGAGAGAGAGAGAGAGAGAGAGAGAGAGAGAGAGAGAGAGAGAGAGAGAGAGAGAGGGAGGGAGGGAGGGAGGGAGGGAGAGAGAGATGGTATATGTTGTTGATTATATAGACTATAGTAATACAAAGTTTTTTGTTTGATGCATTCACGTCCCAATCACTTAACACATTATAAATTATTATAAATTATGTTGATTAATTGTTTTCCTACTACCAGCATATCTCAGATTTTATCATGTCTACCTGCTCCCCCTCTTTGCTGGTGGTGGGCAAGCATAATTAAATACACAGTTTGATTTTATTCACACGAGAGAGCAAACATGTCTTCTCTCCCTCTTAATCTCAGTAGACATTAGGTCAGTTCATACTTTTAGTAATTGTCAGTGGATGTTCGCTATATCTTTCATCTTACTCCCTCCTCGCTCTCTCTCTGTCTCAATTTTACATACCCCGTCTTGTTTATCAAATTATAATACTCTTGTTAAGCGTCTGTGTCTTTCCTAGTGGTCATTTTATGCATATTTAAACTAATTCTGTTCTCACTCTTAGTACATATTTGTTTCTACCTGTGGGGCCAATTATCTTACGATGCTTTATATAATTATAATTTAATACCTGCTGCATGGATAATTGGTCTTACACTCGAATAGGTATTTGACCTTTTGACTAAATTGTTTATATTTTATTAGAAATGGTATGCTTTTATTATTATTATTATTGAGAGTGTTGCTGCATGGTGACAGCTGCCTCTGATTTAAAATCATGTTACTAATTTTAATAATTCTATGTTTGGCTTAATAACCCTCTCTTTTTGTCCCTCTGTTTTTACTCGTGTATCCATGTACATACATGTACATGTATTTATGCATGTATGTGTGTGTGTGTGTGTGAATCGTAATGTCATTAATTTAATATTTGATATAAATATTGTCCTAAGTACTAAATGGATTTGTCTATTAACGCATGTTGAATGTGTATGTATTTTTCCATGTGGACACAAGTGTGACATACTAATCACTGCATGTACTGTAGGCTGTGTATGTTGTGTTATGGTTGTGTGTGTTTCTTCATGCCCATGTGAGGTATGGTGTCCATTTAATTCGATGCGTGTTAATGAAATGTGACCAATAATGGGATTGTATCCTAGTGTTTGTCATCCTCCGTCTTGTAGCATGAGTAATGTGTACTCTCCCACTGGTATCCGTCTTTCTTATTAAATTCTCTTTCTATCTCTCACTCTCTGTCTCTGTCTCTCCCCCCCCCTCTCCCTCTGTCTCTCTCTCCCCTAAAGGTGCTGACATTAGATCTGTTTGCACTGAAGCTGGCATGTTTGCAATAAGAGCAAGAAGAAAGGTGTCGCCATTATTTTTAAAGAATATTTTACATTATTTTTATTATTAATTTTAGACTGCCTCTGAGAAGGATTTTCTAGACGCTATCCAGAAAGTCATAAAATCCTACGCAAAGTTTAGCTCCACCCCACGCTACATGACATATAACTGAGCTTGGGGCTAAGCTTTGGAAGAAGAAACTTCCTATCTTATCTCATAGATGTATCATTAATTAATTAACACTAATAATAATAGTAATAATAATGTGATTAATCAGATGAATTATTCATGAATGAAGCAGTATGGCTTCACTGCACAATTTATAAGCTGGCAGCGAGTGAGGGATTTTAGCAGGAAGCAAAACTTAGCAGTAACGCTTAAGTCGCCTCTCTCTCTCTCTTTTGCAAAGCCCAAGGAATCTTTATTCATTGACGTACAGCTACAAAGAAATGGCCTTCACCAGTCTTGCTACAGCAGTCTGCCTCTTGATGGTCTTCAATGGCTGCCTTGCCAGTTGGTGGTAAGTTTTCTTTCCTCTTTCTCTCTCTAACGATCAGATATTCAATATTGTTATACAAACCCGTTAACATTCTCTACTCTACTGCATATTGTAGCACGTACTTGTAGTCCATGCAGCAAAGTGGTGGCTTTTGTAGTATAGCTGCAAGTGACCCTTTTACACCTCATGTTGCATGGAGTGGTTTGGTTATATAACTGTTTGTATTGCAAATAATTATCATTTATACCTACAAGGCAGTACACTCTAGCTAATGGGGGGGCTGGTGATCTTGGGAAAAGGATGCTTTTGTGTTGATTTCTTGCTTGTGCTTGGTCTAGTCCAATCACCACTTGTTGATGATCCTTGCAGTTCATATTGCAGTCTGCTCTGCTGCATGCACTCTTGCATTCATGCATAAGCTATACTCAAAGCAATACTTGATCATTATCGCATTCACGCTAATACTTTTTGCTTGTACGCTGTTCATTCGTGTCGTTATGTCACCTTCACTTTCAAAACATTCTTGTAAAGAGCGAAAAGCCTTTACCTCTTTCATATCCATTGGGTTACATGTACTATTTGTTCTTTCAATGTGTGGCTTCATAAGTGTATGGACAAGTGGGAGAGGGGTGTGAGTCAAAGACAAAGGCAGGGTGTCACTACATTACTATCATCATTAATGCATGACAGTATCTTTAGTGTGGTTCCTGTAGGAGGTGGCTTGACTCTGTTTGAACCATAGAATTAATGTGACCTTTGTCTATTATGCCTTTTCTCATTCTATCACTGAAGTTGTGACGCTAAATTATTGCGTGTTCTTTTCCAAACAGACTAATTGTCCACTATATTGAGTTACCCCTTTAGTTCCAATTACTTGCTTATAGCGACACTACGCACCTCTTACGCCGTGTGTGGCATGTTTTTAAAATACCTATCGCATGTTAATTGTTGCAATTTGAATAAGATTAGGTTCTTTACTTTGAAGTATGATTCTCTCTCTTTCTCACTCTCTCTCTCTCACTCTCTCTCTTTCTCTCTCTCACTCTCTCTCTTTCTCTCTTCTTAGGTCACTTGGTGTATACAATGATTTAAGCGAACGTGTTGTTGATTCAACTCCTTGCGAAAGTCTTACCAATATACTCAACTCCTCCCAGCAAACATTCTGCAATTACAACAGGAAGATTGTCAACTCCATTGCTATTGGTACCAGACGTGGTATCGTTGCCTGCCAGCAGAACTTTGCGAACTGGAGATGGAACTGCACTACTTTCACTGGGGAGAATCTTTTCGGAGCTTTTGTGAAAAATAGTGAGTTTAAAAGCATTCTCAAAGTGCAATCTTTTACTTGACGATTAATATAATTTTTGAAAGGTATACGTGTCACAGTGGCTTTATCATTATTGTGTTAGCTCATTACCATTATCTGTTTTTGATCTTTTATGTACCGGAACCTTAACAAATGCAAAGCAGATCACGTAGCTTTATTTATCTAATTTAAAAGCGACGGTAGTTTATGGTTTTGCCTTCATGCCTAATGATTCAAGCTTTCAAATATTGTTTCGTAAATAGCTCGGTAGTCTGAGGGATTAATTAAGGATGCCTATAAGTCTCTTAGTTTGTGTCTCCTCTGAATAATTACCAAGTGACAGTGTAAACACGGGCCTATGTTGGGTTGAGGACTGGTTGCCATTATTAGGTTTCTGTAGAGCCACACACCACCACCTCCTGTTTGTTTGTGTATTGCACCTCCTTGAAAGTATAGGAGCATGTCTTGCAGAGCAAGTGTCTCTATCTTTTGCTAATGGTCATAATGCAGTCTCCTTTCTAAGAGTTTATTTGTAATTTTTTTTGTCTCGTTTTATTGGCAAACAACTCAGCCAGCCTATAGTAATAGCCTTGTTTGTTAAAAACATTTCTTATCCCTTAAGTGATTGACTGCATGACTGGACTTTACTAAGAGTTTAATGATGCATAACTAAAGCTCAAGGAATGAGCTAGCATATGTATGTGTGTGACATAATAAAATGTGTTTATAGTTAATTCAATTAGCTATAAACTCTTGAGACTAATCCTAATACTCCCTCAGAATTCTTCCCAGCACTTTACCGTTGGAGTAGTTTTGATTGCTGCATAGAACGCATTGAAAGCTAACCACCACTTGATTGTTTCCTCCTTTATAAATATACTGCATTCTACAATATTTATTATAAGCCGTCAGTTTATTACTTTCTTTATCCCTTTCTCTTTCTCTAGATACTAGAGAGACAGCAGTAATTAATGCTCTTCTGACTGCTGGAGCTGAGAGACAGATTGCTCTCGATTGCAGAGATGAGAAGCTTCCAAACTGCACCTGTCAGATCAATGGCGACAATGGAGTCGTCAATAGTACTTTTTTCCTTTACGAATGTTCCTTTGATATCGCTAAAGCTCATGATATCATGTCAAAGTTTCTCGAGACCCCAAGCAATGACGATACTGCAATAATAGCTGAGCATAATCACAACGTAGGATCAAATGTAAGTACTTAAAATATCTATATTTTATTTATTTATTTTTTTTTTTATTGTAGCTTGTTGGCCAGAGGTACAGAAAGTGTCGTTGTACCGGTTTTTCTGGCTCCTGTTCTGTCCAGACCTGCTACTTTGCTTCCCCAGATATTGATACCATCGGCCAAAGAGTCCGCGAGAAGTACGGATCTTCTGTTGAAGTAACCGTAAATGCCAGCAACAGTGCCTTGCAACCAGTCGTCCAGACAATCAACAACCACGACAACGAACTGGTCTACTTGAAACGTTCCCCGACATTCTGCAATCAAGACACAACGTATGGGATCCTGGGCACTGTTGGTCGGCAGTGTAGCAATAATCTCAGTGATCCGGACTCCTGCGATATTATATGCTGTGGGCGTGGTCATATAACCGTGACTGCGACACAGCCGAAGCAGTGCTGTTCGTTTATCTACTGTTGTCGCATCGAGTGCCAGGATTGCGGAGAAGAAACTTTCACTGAGTACTTTTGCAAATGAGAGAAGAGGAAGAGTCTATTCACAAGAACATGGCAATCTCTATATCTCTCCCACTCTCTCTTTCATGCACTTCCATTAACTATGTACATAATCATTATTATGATGATAATAAGGTTTTCCTCTGTTCTTCTGTTGCTTTTTTGTTTCGTTAACTGACTTGAGTGCTCTTTATTTACCCCACAGGGCACGTTTTATTTTTCGTCTCATTAACTATTCTTCATCACTTTACTAATTATTTTAAAATAAATAAAATACTTACTCAAGTTCAAATGTACAATAATTATAACTATCAGCCTTGGGCGTGGCTAATTAATAACATTAATTAAAAGATATGAATATCGTTTCAGTTTCAGGGCTGTGCTAGCTGCTAATGGAACGATTTACATTCCACCGCATGTGGGAGAAGTTGTGAAAAATACAAACCATCCATATTATCCCCTAGACACTAGCAATGATAAAGCAACAATTAACAGAGCATTTAGCGTGTGGAGTAATAGTATTTTCGTGTAGTTTATACACGTACACGAGGACATTATTAAATATTACATATTAAATTATAGGCTATAGGAAGGAGGTAGGAGGGGTGTAGATCCCTTGCTGCTTGAAACTGAAGAGTGTTCATGGAAGGAGAGAGAGAGCAGGAAGAGACAGCCACTGCCTCTAGACCAGCGGAGCAAGCTAAAGACGTAAGAGGGAGGGAGGGGAGAGAGAGAGGGCGAGGGACTGCCTTGGTTTACAGACTACAAGAGATTGTTTGCGGTTGTTGCTTCATTTTCGCTTTCAGACTGTCTGAGCACGCGACGCCATGCTTCCTCCCTTTTGCCTTCCCTCTTTATATCCTTAACGGAACTTGTACTAGAATATAAAAGGGAGAGAGGGAGAGGGAGGTCTGCTGGAAGGAGATAAAGACTTTGGGACCTTGATAAGCCTGCAATTGACCTTGGAGGACCTGTGTCAGTTTACCTCTTCTGTTTGCTTCCAGAGATATACAGCCAACTGCTCCTTTCTCCAAGACTTCTCCTTCTCCCTCCTTTTTTCAATTTGCAAAGAGAGAGAAAGAAAACAAACTTGGAGAGAAGATTTTAAAAAACATGTCTCTTGTGCAAGCTTCAGCACCCTCTTATAAAATTGGCAGCACTAAAATGCAAGAAGGAATGGTGAGATGCCTTATTAACTTAATAGGATTTGGAGAGGAAAGGAGAGAGAGAGAGGGAGGGAGAGGGATAGAACCAGGGTGGAGGAGGAGGGTAATGGGGGTGAGGAGTGATGCCTGATTGTGATAATAATTTACTTAACACCTTTCTGAAATGCAAATACCTATAGTATTTCCATCACCCACTGTGTATTGCAACCTATTACATAATTAGATTTAGAACAAGAGCTATTCTAACACTATAACAGTATTGTGGAGGCTTAAAACAATTGCATGTGTGTATTATTACCACTCCTTGCAGTGATTATTAAATATGAATGTTATACCTTATTATTGATGGCTGCTAGAGTAGATTACTGCTCGATTTAGGCGGTTGCTCGGTCTTTAGCACTTTCACTTTCATTTTGTTTGTGTATTGAAACAGTAAACAACATGTAAACCGCAAAACAACTTCAAGTTTCCCTAAAAATCTTCAACAACCAATTGTTATAACAGTCCAATATCTAAGAGGATTAGAAATTGTCTTTTTCTGGAAGCTTTTTCTTGTCATGTTTTGTTTGCTCTTTTTGTCTTTCTCTCTTTCTTGTTGATTTATTTATTTCGTGATAATTATTATAATTATTATTATTATTATCCTAGCTATGAATATGAGCTTCGGTGTTTGTTATTTTATTGAATGTATACTTTCAATATTATCTTAATTTGTTGCTGGGAGAAAGAAAGAGAGAGAGAGGGAGGGAGAGAGAGAGGGGGGGAGAGAGAGAGTGTAGAGAGAGAGAGAGGGGGAATAGAATTTTAATTGAGAAAGTTTTAAAGGGATTTTTGCAATTAGTGAGGGGCTTGGGGGGAAAGAAAGGGAGAGAGAGAGAGAATGAAATGCATGTAACTAGGAAAGGTTGTATTTAGTTGCATTCTGTTACGATAGTTAATTTAATAAGGTGATTAGTAAGCTTGTTTCCTTCACCTTAACGGCTTGTTTGGATATTATAATACATTTACTGCGTTACTTTCTTCCTCTTGTTTTCCCTCATCATCTCTCCCTTTCCTTCCCCCCCCCTCTCTCTCTCTCTCTCACTCTCTCTCCCTCTCTCTCTCTCTCTCTCTCTCTCTCTCACTCTCACTCTCTCTCTCTCTCTCACCCATTACAGTATACTGACCATTTACAATCTTCTACACATCATTCAGAGTTGCCAGTTTTGCTCAAGCTGGATCACTCACCATCACCAGGTATGTACATGTATTATACTTACAACACATTCAAAATATTCCCCCATGCACTCTGTAGGATTTATGATGATGTGTGTTGCTTGCTTGTAGACATTATTGTCCTCCCTCCCTCTCTCTCTCTCTCTTAGCCATATTATTCCTTGTTATTCATATTCTTTTGTTATGACAATGCCTGCTGAGACTGAAAGTGAAACTATTATTGTAACTGAAACTGTTCCTGTGTACTCTAAACTTATTATGATAAGGAAGCAGTCCAACCTATATGTACATGTACATACACATGCGTGTTCCATGCATGCTACCTATGATCATTATAGTATTATTGGATCCACTCTGTGTGATTGTATTGCGTTGATCAGGTTTCGATTTCAAAAAGGAGAAGAGAGAGAGAGGAAATTACTATAAGAGAGAGAGAGAGAGGGGAGAGAGAGGAGAGAGAGGGAGGGAGTAAATTTAAATAATTGGTGAGCCAAAACTATTTCATTAGTCTGGAAACCATTCATACAGTTGACACAAAGTGGTTTTTAGAATGACCTGATAAGTGCTTTTACTCTACATCTTATCACAAACAACCCTTCAGGTCTGTAAGGTTCTATAATTGTGACCTTGACCTTTGAGTATAAGATACTGTCTCTCTCTCTCTCTCTCTCCTCTCTCCTCTCTAAACCACACTTAAGGTTACATACAATCCCTTTGTGTTAGTTACTAATAATAATTATTATTTGTACATACTTTCAAAACCACTTTCAATTTTAATTTCCTCTATAATGCATGAGGTCAGCCTCTGTGGGCACAAATACATGTACATATACATATACATGTAAGTGTATGCATTATATAAGTATGTGCATGTACATGTGCATGATTTGACTGCCTGTTGCTTTTGGTCACATGATTGTCACATGATCCTGTTTGTTTGTGTACAGATGAAGGTATGACCAGCTCTGAGCCTCCTGTCCAACAAACAATGGTCTATACTAAGTTATCTGATGATTCTGAAGATGTAAGTGCATGGATTTGTTATAAGGGAATTGTTACTTTTACCCTCTCTCTCGCTCTCTCTCTCTTTCTCTCTCTCTCTCTCTCTCAATTTCTCTCTCTCTCTCTCTCTCTCTCAATTTCTCTCTCTCTCTCCCCCTCCTATCTTTCCCTCTCAAAAGAACAATCTTGAAATTAATGTTGATGATGATAATGATGAAGACGATGATGATAACCCGAGGACCAGCGTCCTATCTACCACTGTACCAGTGACCTCCCACACCCGACCCAGTAAGACTTAATACACCTACATGTGTATATTTATATGTGTGATACATATATTTGTTTTTAATGGTTTATTTTATTTTTTTTGTTATTGAAAGTACAAGTTGTGTTTGTGTCCACCTAATGGTGTGACATTATTATTATTATTATACGTATTATAGTAATAATAATAATAATTATTATTATTGTTGTGTATTATAAATGATTGTTAGGTGTATTTTCATGTGTGTGGGTGTAATGAAGTCATCATAGACTAAACATCTCTTCACACCCATTATGTCTTCTCTCTCTCTATCCCTCTCTTTCTCTCTATCCCTCTCTTTCTCTCTCTCCCTCCCCCTCTCTCTCTCCCTCTTTCTCTCTCTTCCTCCCCCCCCTCTCTCTCTCTCTCCCTCCCTCTCTCTCTCTCTCTCTCTCTCTCCCTCCCCCCTCTCTCTCCCTCTCTCTCTCTCTCTCCCCCTCCCCCCTCTCTCTCCCTCTC